TACTAAGAAGAATCTGCAATGTTATTGGTCCTGACATTGCATCTCGGCTTCAGTCACTTTACCCACCGCTGAGTATTCGACATCCTGACTGGAATTGAATAATGGAGACTATGAGAGTATTTGAAGATCTTGGTTGAGAGAAAAGCAAGAAGCTGAAAGAGAGTTTCACAGGCGAGAAGTGCTTATGGCTACATCTGGACATTGAAATAGTTAAATAATGAAGCTGACCATAGGAAAAATACTTTCTCCAGCAGTAGACTGTATCATGTTTAAGAAAGTTAACAACAACTTGAGGGTTTTAGTCTTAAAAAAATTAAAGTGTTAATTTTGACTCCTCGGTCATTCGATTTAGTTTAAAAATCGAATTGGAATTTAATGATTAGTAAGATTGTATTGCGCCAATATTTCATAAATAATGGTATGCATGCCAAGGAACTGAGCATTCGACATCTTGACTGAAATTGAACAATGGAGAATATGAGAGCATTTCAGCTACAAAGCGTTTTAATAAGTTTATTTTGAATTGGTACAAGGGAAGGATTGAAACTCGAGCTTTCTAACACCGGCGATAAGGATGTTGACCTCAGCAGATTATAAACTCACATGACTTTATTTTTTGAGAATTTCAGTTATCCCTGCAATTGAACCCTGGACCTAATTTTTATCAACGACCCCCACCCCCGATGTCATCAGTTCTCAATTTGGTATCTATGCCGATGACACAACTATTCACTCCTGTCTTAATGGTAAGTTCTATAATTTTGATGAGGTCATATTTGCAGATGAGCTAAAGAATATTAACTACAATCTGTTGTTAACTGGAACAAAAAATGGCTTGTTAATTTTAACGCCTCCAAACCGAATCTTATTTTGCCTTTCATCAGCATGGCTGAAGCTAACCTCCGGGAGGGTGACTCATTACGCTTTTTCGCTGACATAAAGTTGGGACATTATGTTGAATTAATTGTTTGGTCTGCTGCTAGGAAATTTGTTTTGTCTTTCCAGAAAACTTTTAAAACATTTATAATTTTTCCATTCGTACATGCGCGGGATATTGCTGTCATATATGGTCTTATGCGTGTACTATGTATTTAGATATTCTTGTTAAAATCCGAAGAAGAATTTGCAATTTCATCACTTATAACCTGGCAACTCGGAATCAAGACAACCTACTCTGAATCTGTCTATATTTCTGTGATAAGGTACTATGTATACTATTTACATTATTCGGACTATTGTCCTCATCTTTGTTGCCATATTAATCACAACGATTCGGCCGTTGTACGCTCCCTCCTTCTTGAACCCGCAAGTCTTTGGGTCCTGTCACTGGATGTGACCAAGGCTTTTATCCACTGTGTCATGTCTCCTTAGGAGTTGTGAGTTCAATACCTGGTTAAGACAGTGGAGAACTTGAATTAACAGGTAACTGATAACTGACATCCATTAGACATGGCACGTGGAACTAGAACAGTCTACCTCTACGAGCGAAATAAAGGATTCAGTTTGACACTCCAGCCACCTGAAGAAGGCCGGAGCATACAACGACCGAAACGTTGTGATAAATATGGCAACAAAGATGAGGACAATAGTCCGAATAATGTAAATAATGAACCTACTCTCTTTTCGTGATTATCTGCGAATTTCTATGCTGCAAAGCATTTGCGTTGCCTCCTCCACGCTTCTACATTCTGCATTTTCCTTCTCTTAGACTACTAGAGATTCTGCTTTGATATTTAACCCATAGCTGGGGAAAGAAAGAAGAGAAAAATTCACATATGTCACAAGGGTATTACTGTGCAAGTGATATATAACAAGGTCAGAAATTGAACTCGGTTAAAAGATTCCACTCTCCGCTCCGATATCCGCAAAACTATCCATACCATCTTTTCTGTTAATTAATTCTTAGTCACCTTAACATTGTTCATGGTTAACTTAACCAACTGGAATATATAAAAGAAAAATGCCTCCGAAGATCATGCCATTGGCAGTGCATTCGATGGGAACCCTCTTAAGGCTCTCATCCGTCAGCAATTACTTTCGTTGCTCTTTAGTTCCAGTCTACATTTTCATAGTACACTGTATGCGTTGTTTCTTAAAGAAACCATCGAAAGCAGGCGACGTCTGGGGTATGACGATAAACTACATCAGCGTCCTGGGTAAGACGGTAAACTATATCCGCGTCCTGGGTAAGGCGATAAACTACATCAGCGTCCTGGGTAAGACGATAAACTGCATCCGCGTCCTGGGTAAGACGATAAACAACATCGGCGTCCTGGGTAAGATGATAAACAACATCTGCGTTCAAAGTAAGACGATAAACTACATCCGCGTCCTGGGTAAAACGATAAACTACATCCGCGTCCTGGGTAAGACTATAGCCAGCATCCGTGTCCTGGGTATGACGATAAACTACATCCGACAGCAAAGCCTTTGATCAGGACGTTTTGAGGAACATGGAACCTCTCAATTGCTGGTGTTCCCAGATCCACCCTGGCCCGGG